TTCTTCTAAATAAAAAGTTAAATCTCGATAATGTAAAAAATCTATATATTGTTGATATGGTCTTTGTATCTATGTGTTATTGCATTCATAAAGATGAGACTAGAATAAAGAAATAACTTAAAACATACATATTTACTTGGACATTTTATAATATTTGATACACTTGTATGACTTGTTATTATATATAGTAACAAAATTGCCTATGATTTCATCTGATTATGAGTGTCAAGTAATCTATTGAGTTTGCGGCCCAAGGCCGTGAACTACATATCAGCCCGCAGAACATGTGCACGTGCACAAACTGAAACAATGACGTCATATTTTAGGTCATCAAACAGTTAATAGTAAAAGTGAAAGTAGTTTTTTAGCACCAATTGCTTGATTTTATTATGAGAGCTTTAGGGAATTTCGTACAAACACAGTTTTTTAACTATTGAATTTTAAAGAAATAATAAGACAAATTCATTTAAAAAGAATAAGAAAAACAAAAAAAGAAAATAAAACTTGCTTCTACATTCTAGTGTACCTTGTAAATAAAAAAGTAAACAACTATGTAGAAGTTACTGTACAGTAAAAATAGAGACAGGAATTTCAAGGAAAAAATATCGAAGTATTTAGTTTTTAGAAAAATGCTACTATTAGATCTGCCAAGTGTATTAAAAACATAAATACACGTCATATAGTTGTGCCAGAACGTGATAATCGGCCCTTAAATGAATAATGCCCACGGACTGAAGCCCTCGGTGCCATTATTCATTTTATTAACTCCTTCCGGCCCTACTCTGTCGTGTATAAATCTCTTATATCATATTTGTTTTAGGTATCCAAACGTATCAAACACAAATCGACGTTAATACATGTAACCTTACTCAAGCGCTAGCATAATGCTAACTTTATTAGTTTATGATAGTATTGCTGTTATTATTATTATTATAATTATTATAATTATATTTATAATTATTATTATCATTATTATTATTATCAATATTATTATTTATTATCATAATTATTATTATTAGTATTATACATGTATTAAGTTGAAATCATGTAGCTATGGACGAAATTCACAGACATAGTAGTTAAAATTCGAAATATCACCAATAACATATTAACAAATATGCGTAACCATTCTTAATTTTTCATTTCACTTCAGTCCATTTACTTTCTGCCAGAAGTTATATAAATACATTGAAATCATATATTATTGGTCATTCTGTGCTACTGTAATCAAACTAAAAAGGTTTAAATGCGTAATAATCGAGTATAAAAAATGTTGAAAAAAAAAAATTTGAAGAGTGAAAGAATTATAGTTTGACAATACATTGTAGTAAAATTTATTTGCCAAAAAAAGGGTTCCTCGCAAACAGTACATGGGGAGTAAATTAACATTGCAAACATTCGTTTAAGGTCCAACAATGTATTAATTTTCTCGTCCTTTAAAACACTAAATTAAGTCTATATTTCAAGGATTTATTACTAATATACAGTTACTGTATCAATGTTATCATGGATGTATAAATATATATGTCAAAACTTAATTTTAAGAAAGGTTTAACCTAAATATGCATTGCAGTAAGTTAAATTGTTTCACCATGTTGAAGGTTGGTACACATCTGTATCATCTTACGAATCTTAAAGTGTAATAGGTGTTCTCAATTTTATCCCCCCCCCCCAAAAAAAAAAATATATAATTATATAAATAAAGCGGGGATAGATCTTTGCAATTTGAAATGTACACCTCATTTAACAGTTAAATAAAAAGATAGGGTTGTGATACGAGTGGGAAGGGTAGGCGAAGAAGTAAGATCTTATTTATCAGGAAGATAGAGAAGTACAAGTTATATATAAAATGATTGTGAATTAGAAAATACGTTTTATAAATTGATTATTCTTTCACGTAGACAAAAATATGAAAAGTAAAAGTGGAGCCAATTACAATTATGCTAGGTATCAGAAAAAAGAGACTGAAATTTTTTTGAAAATCGGTGACAAGGTAGTTATTTGTACTTGTGGTATCTAAACTCACAAAGACATGTATAAGTTTATACTTACTTAAATAACACCTCCCAGTATCTATAGTGTGGTAATATTGACCTCAGACATTTGATTTGTCAATGACCTTTTGTCGCTAATTATCGGATCCGGAAATAAATCTTACATCTTTGAAAGTATAGCATAATGTTCAACATAGTTTATGCAAAACTTAAAGTTGATATCACATTACTTGCCTTAATAGCCTCAGTAACAATGATTTAAGACTTTCAGTTTCAATCTGAATATATAATAGGTTCAAAACCTAATATAATTTAATAAGTTATGAGATTAAAAGAAAAAGACAGGGAAAAAGTCAAATGATTATTTTTCCAATAATGCTGAAAATAATTAAAAGATAATAGTGAAACAATTAAAAAAAATAGTTTATTGAGGATTCAAGTCTGTATATTTGCGATAACAATGTCCCCCTGTTTGCCATTAGGCCAACTTGTCATAATATTGCAACTGAAAGTATCGAGTACAATACTATCATTAGAATTAATTGGTAAATCGTAATGAATTACGAAAACCAACGAAAAAACTCCCGAAAATTAATCAGTCTCAGGTCAATATTGCCAAACAGTAGTTACTTTTCGTTTTCATGTTTATGCCGCATTCTTCCTATGGAGAGTTCGATGTTCTTATCTGAAGATTAACGAAAGGATCGGAAAATTGCGATGTACAGTTTGTGGCACTATTTATAAATGTATTTAAGAAGTCAGTCAATATAATTTAAGTATAAAAGTCTAAAAGAACAACAAATAAAAGTACTTTGCTAATGGAACCTTATTTTGCGCAAGACTGTAACCAATTGAAGAAATACATAAGGACTACCGTAAAGTATTTCATGCAATTGTCTATAAAAATGAAATGTTTAATATTCCTTATTTTAGAAACTAAAATGTTCATGATAAAGATATTTGACGGTGTGCATCTTGAAATCCTTCTAGAAAACACAGGCCTACTGTTTAAACCTGTATCATATCATCTTCCTTCAAACTTTATAAGCGGTACAAATAATAGTTTTAAAACGAAAAGGGTTATTACTTTACAATATTGCACACATACATCTTTATATTTTAGTCATGCTCTGATTAGTATGTGTCGATACAAAATAGCTAGCTTACACGGTAACAGAGTCGTGCTCATTTAATTGGATAATCTTGTCTGGTATATTCAATGGTAAGTTTTGTGTTATTTTCAATTTTAGTCTTCCTTTTTCTAATTGATTTCAGTGCAAGTTGAATTAAAGTTAATGACGTTCGGTATCAAAACTACCAAAAGTTCTCATTATTTTTGTTTTATTACTCATCTGGGAAAGTACATTAGAACACACTTTGAATATTTTACCTGTGCTTGAATTGGGAAATATTGAAAGTAAAAATAAGGATATTTTTAAGATAGAGATACATGGATTTTATTATGCTTAAAGTCGGAATAAGTTAACATGGACGTTTGCTTGTATTTTCAAGTACCATTTCTGAACTGGCTAAGTCAAACTAAGCCTACAGCATTTACAATTGTGTTGTTTTGGGCGTTCTAACGAAGTTTATTTTTCACTACTTGAACATGATAAATGTGCTGTTCCAGAATTATAAGTGAACTTATATAATATCCAATACAAAATAAACCATAAAGTAATAGAATATCCTCTATTTTGAACGTTTGTAGTTTTGATCCACATGCATTTCCTTTACATGACATTTTCTATTATTTTTTTAATAAAATTTTGTACTTTATTACAAAGGTGAAAATTATAATCATTTCATTTTCATGACATTTAGTTTGTGTAAAAATCCTTTTTTATTCAACGTTTTTGATATAAACCACCATTTCTCCGGCTACCAACACTGTCTTCTTCTTTTAACTGAACAGAAACAAAGAAAACTCTCCGCAAGTCACGTAACGTTAGTAGTGCGAGACATACTTGTTACAGAATAAATTAGGCACTTCAAACTTCATTCGGATTGTACATTAAGTATAATGATATACAAGAGTTAATATAGATTTTCTTGACACGCTTCTAAATACAGTCTTATTCCAGTCCTAATTTTAGGCATTTGTTTTTGACTCACAATTTTCTATGTAACGCACACATGGTACCTTTTAGATTGGTATATAATTTTCATACAAATCTTATTTTCCAACTGTTTGTGAACATTACACAAGCTTAACATAAAACTTGTAAAGCAGACTAGCTCACAAACGGCCGTACATTTGATCATTGTGCGACTTTAGATGCCCCACGAGTGAGTCTCGTTAGAGCATTTCATTACAGGTATGTGATGAATACTTAATACTTTTATAATCACAAAAACGTTCATTATCAGTTTAAAGAACGTTCTTTTTTATGATTTTTATTATGCAAATCATTAAAAAAACGTTTACTATGAAAAAATTTATATTTTTTTTATTTTATATTGTAATTCTTATCTTATGGTATTTTCAGATGCGTATATTTTTCTACCTTTTCAAGATTTTGCGGCACAAATGTCCTTTTTCTGTGACTAAGTAACTCGTGACCACAAAAAAGTATATCGTATGCACCATTTAATTATCTCGAGCGGACGACTTAATAACTCGTGGCCATGACATAGTATCTCGTGCGCACGATTTTATTACCTCGTGCTCATGACTTAGAAACTCGTGTCCACGACATAGTATCTCGTGCGCACGAGATAATTTAAAACACTCACATCATCTCTGTGCCGCTGTATTAACTCGAATAATGGAAGTTTTTTTTTTTAATTTGACTATTGTATGAAGCAATAACATTTTAATAACATTTTTATAGAAACTACAATGTGAAATGTCTTTTTACATAATCTTCGTTCACAACAAAATCTTGCTTAACACGCTAAATAACATAGTACAATAAATAGATGCTTTGTTGTGTTAGCGAATATTTACATATGAGTATAACTGAAATCTAGATCAACAAACTTCACTTGTGACATTCCTACTTCATCAGGTAGGCGGAAGTAACTGATCGCGTTACGAACAAAAAAATCTTAATCACATCTTCCTCATTCCAGGACACCTTAAAACATTTTATCGTGTTCATTGTAATCTACTGATCAAAATCTATGGAAGCAGAAAACAAGCATGCCTTTTCCTCGCTTTTACGATTTATAACTTCTATAACTGTGTACAAAATGTTATATTATTGCTGTGAAATCTTGATACTAGTATGCAAAAAGCGCACAGCACAAAAGTATTAATAAACTTTTTGTTATATAAAATATTGTATGAAGCACGTATGAATAATTGTCTTTTCTTTGTGGACAAGATTTTTGTATGCTGGACAATAGGAAGAAGAACGAAAAACATCTCGACGGACAAAAAATAAAGAAAGCTAAATGGAGCTGCCATCATCGGTATAAACTTTATTATCTGTTGATAATTTGTCTTTATTTGTTCTAGTTTTCAGATGATATAGAATATCGTAGGGATATTTTTTAACTATTGTTAGGCATTTCTTTATTGACGATTTTTATGTATAATCATTTTATAATTGATTGAAAACCATTGTCATATCTTAATACTATTTTTTAATTTGATTGTGTCAAATTTCAAAAGTATCACAGCAATCATTTATCATTTCCGTAATTTTCAATATATTTTCTTAAAATAAAAGTAAATGGAGTAAAACAAAGTCAATAAGCGACGAAAGTCGCACGAATTTACAAATATAAATTTGAAGTTCATTAATAGAAAAATATATTTGAATTAACGCTACATCAGAGCAATGAAATAACTCGAGGACATGAACACTATCTGATGCATTTATTGTTATTGGAACAAGCTTCTCCAATCGCATTAAAGGCCGTTATAAAAAGAGATGAGAAGAAATGTGGAAAAGATATTGGTATTTTGTTAAAAGAGAAAAGTGATGCCTTTAAGACCCAGTACGAAACAGAGTATCTTCAAATATTTCAAGAAGAAGATGTCAATGACGACATTGATACGTGGGACACTCTTCAATTATGCGCTGTGATATTAGTGTTGTTTAAATCTGATCTAACTGAACCAGAAGTTAAAGCCATTCTATGTATATATGATCAGAGGAAAGATATTGAACAATACACCGAATGTGCCTCCCTTACATTCAATACCTACCAAGAGAAAGAACATTTATTGCACGAACAATTACTCGAGTTGATAACACTCATAGACGACCAATCTAATCTTGTTTGTAAACGTATGATGTTTTCGTTTGAATCAAAATCAATGAAATTAAGCAACCCACAGATAGACAAACTAACACGGACAAATGATATCAAAACTCATCTTAAAATTGCAAAAGAAGTAGATGTCGAAACAGTGAATGACACCACTGGCAAAGAGAATGATCAAAAGTTACGCACAAATGGTAAGTATTTGTGTTACAGTATGACTTTAAATTTATTCATATGGTTATCTTGTATATACAAACACATTACTTTATGAACATGTTTGTATGCAAGTTTTGAAATAGTGTTACCCTTTGGCTATAGCGATATAATTGCTTTAGATTGCCAGGATCGAATATCAAATTATGTGAGCATGCTTGTGTGTATATTCTAAATTAATATGCGGCATGAGTCCAACTGATACAATACATGGTCAATCAAATGACATACATTGTACTTTATCTTTGAATAAATGTTATACATATTTACCCTTATAGTGTTAGTGCAAGTGAAAACAAAAGTTTACCTTCTTGAACCAGAACCAGGCGTGGATAGAACGATTAATCAAGAGAATTTACTTACTTAATGTGTACTTCTTAGTGATATTCTCTTATTCTTGTTTATGCTGTTGTCGATTTTATTTTCATTAAGTAATTTTGTAAGACGCTGCTCAGTTTACAATTATGAATTATGTGTTTTATGTAAAGTATATCATAAAATATCAGATCGTATTCAATTAGATAATGATACGAACAGTGTATAGATAACATATGGGTTTGTGGATAACAGTTGAAATATCATCCCGATATAACGCCTCGGGTAACAGTATTTTTCTCGGGATGATATTTTTACTGTTCATCACAAACCCATGTTATCTATTGTATTACCCCGAAAGAATACTGTAATGATCTGAAAAGTCCAGCTAAATTTAATCAAGAGTAACAATAACTTCACTGCCTTTACCTTGCAAGTTACAAGTGAACTTGAAATGTTTTTTTTTTCTTCTTTTTATTCTCTAAGGGAATGATGACATCTACCAGCCATAAACATACAATTAGCTATGTTACATTTGTAAACCGAAACACAACCCCATTTATACGGTTATGATTAGTGAAATCTTATCCTCTTGTATCTATAATAGTCTTCCCAAAGTTTTATACAATGTGCATATGCGAAATTACGATGGTATCCTACATCTGTCTATCACACCTTTCCATGTTTCACCACTGGTTAAATTCGTTAAATAATCATTTGCATGCTTTAATCGTCTGCTTGTTATTCGGATATGCAATAACTTCCGAAGAAACGAAATTAAAATCAATGTTTATTTTTTTAATATTCAACGATTAATCCAAAAGAGAATTAAGGCGCGTAAAGCACTCTTAATGCAAACAGCTAAAATGTTTTTCAATATTCTTTCTATTGCTGTCCCTTCGTTGTAAACATCAAAAGATAATACTAGTAGGCTGAAACTGGAAAACGAATGGCGGCCATTTTTGTTTAAGAAAATAAACCACGTGACCAGATTTTATACTGTTACACTGTACACTTGCATTAACAGTATGAATAGCTCACAGTGGCCCATGGAAAATTAACATTGCGTAAATTGTGAGGGGTAATAATAAACAATAACTTGATATAACTGAATTATAATCTTATAAACAAAACGCAATATACTTCAGGCCACATGTTTACTGAAGAACTTCAGAACAAAAATGTCTACATCAATGATTCAGCAATTTTGACTTGTAATCTTAACCTTCCAACAAATGAAAATGTTGAGTGGAGGAAAGACTACAAGCCGGTTGAAATTTCAAACAATTTAATGGTCATGAGCAGGAATGGCAATCACTGGTTAGCGATTTCCCGTGCATCATTGGAAGATACGGGTCAATATACGTGTGTATATGGCCATATTTCAACATCAGCTGATCTTACTGTTATAGGTATGCTTTAATCGAATTATAACAACAAAACTTGTGTTCTTGTTCAATGCTTTGAAACTATCATACCTTTCTATGGCAATTACAAGTGAAATATAAATGTATGCTTACTTACATGGGCGAATATGAATATTAGTAACAGTCTATTCCATTACCAAATAATAGTTGTTATTTATGTTACAAGGACTAGTGAGCATAAGTATGTGTACATTCGCGAAAAAGATCCTGCTTATAACAATTTTGGGTTTTTTAAGTTCATAATTGCGATATACAATAAATCAGTTTAATGTACGATTTATTTTCAATACAAATATGTGTATATTTGTTAATACATTGCAATATTAGATTTAATATCCAATGATCAAAGGAATTACAAAATAGTATGATTCGTTTAATTATCATTATGTCATCCTTTTGTAACAGATGAAGCATTAAGTGTGGTCGTTCATTTCCCAGTCAAGGTTGAGGTTATTGAAAATGAAAACATTGATATAGAGTGTAAGGTGACACTGCTTACGAGTAAACCTATCTGGCGACACAAAGGGAAACTACTACAATCATCTGGTAGAAAGGTTATACAAGCAAAGGGCTCTACACACAAATTGATTATCACGAATGTAACATTAGAGGACGAGGGAGAATATACAGTTGACTTTGGGAATGTCTCATCTAAAACAACAGTTCAAATACAAGGTCAACATATATGAATGTTATCTTCGTTTTTGTAATACCAACACTATTTGTATAGTTTGTGTAAATCTCTAACAGGTCCTTTACATAAAAGTCGTTAATTTTATTCAATTGGTTTGGGTAAAAGCTTGTAAATTTTAAAAGCAAACAATGCATTTAATTTCATACCGATTTTCCAGATACCAGAAAATCATTGGTGCAATTTTCTTCAATTTATTTTAGTGGAAACTGACCTTATCCACAGAAAACAGATAACACAAGAATTGTACAGAAACTGGATGAGAGGAGCTCTAGCGTTAAAATATTTAAAAATAGGTTTAGAAGGTTTTTCCGACAAGGCTGTTTGCAAACAACATAATGATCTAATGAAAAAATTTGGAAACTCCTGCAGCACTTGTACAGAGGAAAGTCTTCTTCCACATGAACAAGATCAATGCCCACGACAAAGAAAACATCAATGTTTATGTACCAAAGGTCAGAAACAGAAGTCAAGACAAATGTGTCCAAACGGGGGATTTTGTGGCAACGTTTATAATCAAATAGTTTATAAACATCGCTTTCAAAATCCATTATTCACAAATACAGATATCCAAAAATGGAGCAGTGATGCGTGGAGTGTTGCTACATGCTTTGTTAATACAACTGGCTACAAATGCAAGCGATCAGCTAAAGATGTCGACTGCTCCGGTTTACTCAGTATGTGTATAAACAACATTGATATAGAAACAATGCTTGGAGGGGTTACCATCGATGGGAAAATAGATGCGTTTACAAAGGTACACATCTTCTCCACAGAAATCACTTATTGTTGTATGTAATTTCAATTGAAAATTGTATAAACATGTATAGTAAGCCTTTATTATGCAAGTATATAACAGTCTTTTCGAATTGGTTTTAAAATTGATTAATCTATAAGTTAAGTATTTTAGCAACACATTAATATTAGACTTTAGATACTGAAGTGTTTCTTTTACAGGCAAGGGAAGCGAGGAATGATATTCTTCACAGTCCAAACTATGAACTATCTGAAACTCAACTAAAAACGTTTATAATAATGTTCAAAGAAGTACTAAAAATCAAGGACAAACATGGTTATACACCTTTGAAAGGGGAGCCAGGCGTAGAAGAAGCATTACGTTTACTAGATATGGTAATACTGCTATTGGAATTATATAGTATAACGTTTAAGGAAGTAGTAGAAATCAAAGACAAACATGGCAATACACCCCTGACAGGGAACCCCGGCGTTGCACACGCATTACATTTACTAGATATGGTAATTAACCTATAAGAGTAATGTAGTAATTATAAAGACAAGATAAGCCGATTTGGGATACATTTTATTGGTTCTTAATTTCAATCTAAATTAATAATATATTAATCAAATTTGTAATATTTGGTGCACATCATACTTAAGCAAATTCTTAATGTTTACTACTTGTTATTTTGTAACAGATGTATGATATAAATAAAATAGTACGTTCAGGTCCCTTTGCATAAGTGTTAAAACGTTTTATTGCGTATGTTAGTAAGTACATTATTGTCTAAAGTAGTAAAAACATTAATGACTATAATTGTAGGCACATTATAGACTATAATAGTAAGTTCAATCTCTTTATCTGTTCTAACACTGTAATGAATCACTCTGTATCCTCTTGCAAAGGTAAGCTCGTTACTTTTTGGCTTTTCACACATATACACAGACTATTATTTGAGTATTAAAAAGATTGCAAGAATACATGATAAAAAATGTTCAACAAAGCTTATTACATGTTAAAAAGTCGGCAATGTGTTGTAAAAAGATTTAACCTGGTAACTGAAAGTTTATTTAGACCTTACCATGTATTACTTCTTTGCTTTCAAGGGCCCAATATGCATTCTGATATTTTTGTTATGACATCATTCTTCAAATGAGTTTACGGACCGAAGTCCTATCATAAATTTCTTACAGGTGCAACAAAACCAGATTGAGATAAACCTTGAACAGGAGGTGAGAGAACTAAGAGAGCATGGGATGTCTAGATTAGAAGAGAAATACCAAACAGCACAAAAACAGGCAAGTTTTTTAACTAATGCATATGAGTATTGTTAGAACATGCTTTTACGACCGATAAAGTAAGGCAATTTTAAAGTAAGGCAATATTGATTTTTAAGTCTCATAAAATGGATAATAAGTTCAAAAGGTCTTTGAAAAATACTGTGATTCTAAAGGTGTTAGTCTTTCTATTGTATATGAATCATTACTGAGAAAGAGGTGTAAACACTTGTCTTTCTGTTAGCCATCATGCACGCTTGATTATATAGCCTTGTTTAGATTTCTTTAACTTAAAGAATACACTGAGGCGAATATTACATTCGTGAGTAATTGTTAAGAATATAATTTTAAATGGCATGCAAGTGTTATTACGTAAATATACTTTGCGGTCATCTTCTGAATTCTATTTAAGGTAATCAAAGGTAGTATTTGGACGGTGGTATCCAGTGTTCCGTCAATATTATAATGGGTCTTAGACAATTAGGAATTAAATGAAAATTACCAAAATAAATATAACTAAAATGAAGTTTCTTCTTCGTCATGTTTGTGTACGATATGCACATGATTCGAATAATATATATAATGTAACACTTTAAACTTTTCTTTCTTCAGCATGAATTGAAACTTCAACTGATAGAACAACAGATAAAAGGTTTGTCTTTAAGTTTTAATTGAAACTAATAAGAGTTTATCCTAATTCTACTTGGTCATAAGACCATGATTTAAACATAAGTATTATCGAGATACGTAACAGTGTAGTTAAAAAATCCTGTATCCGTTTGAAAAGAATTAGTTTTATTCCCTTAAATTGCACAAATTCATAATTTGGTTCCTTTTTATGAACTGTTGGATTTGACAAAACAGTAACATAATGCAAAATTGACATAATGTTTTTAACATATGTTATACTGATATACTCGTACAAAATGTATAAATAGCTACAAAGAGAAAGAAGAATTAAAAAAATGAAGCTAGAAAAAGAATCAGACTTTGAAATAAAATGATGTTTAAATAGACATATTTCAAAAAGGGGTGTTTTAGGATTTGACACTATAAAAAGTTTATAGAAATGAGGTCATGCAAGAAAAATTTCCTTAAGAAAAATGTATTTATTTCTATAAAAAAATCAAAAGAATATCAAATTTCTAAAAAAACGTCTTGCTTGTGAAAGAATAATCAATTAATATCTTTAGTTATTTTGCCTATAATAGAAAACATTCCGGAGTTTGCATACTTTTTCTTTTTTAGCGGACTTGTTTATATGGACAGAAACAGTGTTGTTGTTTAAAAGTTACGAACAAGTGTTGTTCATGTAGAAAATAACTTGTCAAATATTTGGTCTTAAATGTATTCTTCCCATCATATACATGTCGAATTACTCGCATATATTCTGTTAAGCATTATTGAATATTATTTACATAAATTTTCGTAATTTCCTGAGTTGTATTTTTATTAACAGATAAAGAAAATGAGCTTCAGCTTATGCTAAATCTTAGATCTGCGGGAAAACAAAAGAGTCTTAAAGGTACATAATGAAAAAATACTTAAAACCCTGTGAATTCACAGCTCTTATCAATAAAGTTTTGTTAACATTGAAAAGATGACAAAAGGAAAAAACATTAAGAACATTATTGTTATTTTATACATTTACTTGTTTAAGGACTTAAATAAGAATGTTACTAAAGTAAGTTGACTGTTGAACTAGCTATACTTGAAATACATTTACTAATATCAATAATTCATATTTAAAATACTAATTCTCTAACTTCCCTTGTTGTTCTTACATAGAAACTGCGCACGTAGGTATATATAAACGAAGACGGAAACATGTTTTACCGATATAATTACGCAAGCATGCACTTTATGCATTACTCAGGGCGCCATGTATAACGGATATAAAAGGGAAAGCATGATGAAACCTGTGTTACATTTATGTGGAAAAAAATAACGGAACGAAATGTATCTTATTTGAGAAAAAAGCTAATACACATGCAATTTGAGTGTGCATTAATATCTGCATATTTTGATGCACGTTAAACCGTGCATTGATTCTCTACATGTATAATGTTTGTTGTTTTTTTTCAGAGCAATTCTTGCTTGATCTACAGATAAATGTTATTGCTAAAAATGGTGAAAAAAGTGCTGAAGGGAATCAACGAATTTATGAAGTAATGAGAGACTATATTAAAGATAACGATGATATGACTGGTTCGTCTTTTGATGAAAGATCAACTGATACACCAGTCTATCACCTCGTAGATTTCATCAAGGCCATAAAGAAATGCCGTATCGTTGATATTTTTCCCACTGACCAATCGTCAACAGACATACAAATCAACTGCCCAAGTTCGAAGGCCATGGAAGAGTTTCTTAAATCTATCATCAGTAACGAATTTCAACAAGAACTGTTTGCGCTTAGACGATGGTTACTTGTGCAATGTGACATTGAATCGCATGACATAATTGCCAATTGCTCTTCAAATGGCATAGAGAGAGTAAAACAACGGCTTCGTAAGTTAAATATGAATAATAATGATATATGATATATTTAATATTTAACAGTGTATTCTGTATTTTGTAATCAATGCATATTAAAAGTTTTAAATGAAGGTCTTAATCAAAATTTATTTAAAAAATCTTTTGCGCAATATCGTTAAAATATGTAAGGATTATTGAAAAACTTGATAGGTTGATATTTTTTATTCTGTAAACACAAAAACATGTACAAATATTTGAAAGCGTAAATCTACTGTCTTCAGATTTTACTGACGTAACCAGAACTATGACTTGTGCCGAGCATCAAAATACACAATGTACTCTCTATTGTCCTGACCATGACACGTTTTTTTGTACAGCATGCAGGGAATCAAGACATGGGTAATTATACATTTCTTACAATCAGTTATTTATAGTGGTTAATATGGTACAAAAGGTATCGTATTAAACAAACAAATTTTAGAAGCGTGCAACAATGACTGTTAACTTATCTATCAAAAACATTTAAGTTTGATTTCTCTTAAATTACTTAAAAAAATAGAAAAAGTAAAGTTTGACTAAAAAATTCATTCGATACCTTTTATTTGAAATATTTCCACCTGCCATAAAGGATCTGTTTATCTCTGAAATAGATTTATAATTGAGAAATATCTAATTATCCGATTTTTGGTAAAATATGACTAATGAAAACAAAAATGTCGGCAATAGTTAAACCTCTTTCATACGACAAAACAACTTTAATTGATCCGACATTTTGATTCCTATTTTAGCATATTGAAATAATTTAAATTTATTTGGTTTATTTATAAGACGAATGAAACATAATATAGTCATCACCTTTGATAAAAATTCGAGTGTTGGCAGAATAATAAGTCTTCTTGTTATAGCAATTGGCCGAAATCACATTTGGTCTACAGGTACAGTGAGCGACTAAATGATTTCGAATTACTGGAGTTGTTTTATTCAGAAGGTGATGTGGTTTGACCCTTGTCACTGCAGTGAAGATTAAAACAACCGAGGTTAACCAAAATGATTCCTTTCTGTTTTGGCGCAATATGACCTAAACTGTGTTGACCAGTACGCCGTAAACCAAAAATAAAACATTTTCAAATCGACAAATCCCAGCATTTAAATAGTTTTTTATTTAAGAGTTAACAGAGTAATACGTGAATTCTTTTATATCTGAAATTCTGCCAGTTTTTTTTTTTTTTTTTTTTTTTTGAAATGAGTATCGGCCAAGTTTTCTTTAATAAGGCACTTTTCTTATATGAATTAAAAATAATTATTTATGATAAAATTTGAATCGGAATCTTTTATCTTAATTCGTATTATCAGCTATTAAATCTTTTTGAATATGATAAAAATGATAATTGTTTCAAATTTGTTTTTTTCTTGAGAATGTACAATTTATTTCTCATAAATAGAATATATGGCATGAGTGTTTGTTAAAAATTGAAATTTTTTAAAGAGTTGAAAAAAACAACATAATTATTATGGGAGCCTCTGGCGAGCATAATATTGTTTTATTCAACGAGTTCAATAAATTTAGTATTGAATCTACACGAATATAATATTATATTTGTCACATACATAGAATAAGAAAGGTAAACAGTTATAAAGAGTCATTTTTCATTGACGCGCCTATAGTGTAACGCTAACATTAGCGTGCTTTATATGAACTGAACATTTACGTCAACAATATATACATGTACCAAAAAAAGTAACATCCAAATAATCATAAGTTTAACTTATCACTGTCAAACAAAATGTTAAGACAATACGAAACTTATCAATGCTTTTATATTATGCATTTAGACTGCGTAATGAATTTATATCTTAAATGTCTTTATGTTTGGTGCTTAATTTTATTACGCAATTACATGTTTTTTTTTTTTTAAAAATGGCTTAAATGCTGCTATGACAATATATCCTTTTTTAAATTTTACCCATGAAATATGGTGCTGTATCAGTCATATATATTTCAAAAATAAATATGAAATATAAATATGAAAGTGGGCGGTGTCTAAACTCATATTTATTTTAAGGGAAATATTTTAAGAAAATAAATCCAAACACCAATATCTTTAAATCAGTCATTTAATACCGCTGTACAGACGTTTAAGGAGTTGTTTAGGTGACGTTAACAGGAGCAGTAGTCCAGTGGTAAGACGCGCGATTAGGGATCGAGAGGTCCTTGGTTTGAACCCCACCAGGGGCACTGCTAATTTCCTTGAGCAAGAAATTTACCTGCGATTGCTTCACTTCACCCAGGTGTAAATGGGTACCTGCGAGGGTGGTATAATTCCGTTGCGCCAAAGTGTCGGCTGCACTAAGCGGAGTTATAGGACTCCCCAGGGAGGTTGATAGATATATACCAGTAGCCCGATGACCAGGGGTATTAGCTGTAAAGTCGGTGAACGTGCGTAAGCATGAAACTTAGACTATAAAATGCAATTACTTACTTTACTTTTACGTCACAATATAGCGACAAACAGCGCGTGCAAAATCAGTCAAAACAATATATTACTGCGCTACAATTGCAGTTGCGTAGCTAGTAAGGGGTTTTATCATTCTCTTTGATAATGGAATTAAATAAAAAGTTTTTCGTTAAAATGCCACATATTTTCACTCGCCGTCCTTGCTCGTGCAAATATGTGTCATTTTATCATGTTTCGTGAAAAATGTATTCCATATTTCAAAATGAAACGAAAAAATATCCACTTAGTACTTTATACGTACAACTCTCATGTTTATTATATGATGTAATATTTATCTAACAAGCTGCCATGACAATATGCTATTGTGTTAATATTTATTTTATGTAGTCACGTGTATGGGCGGAGGTCTGAATAAACTTATATTTCAACGCTATATACTGTTTGATGTTATTAACCTGTCAATTCCATACTGATTATACGGTCAACTCACAGAATATTTAATATTCGATAAGTGATTGGTAAATTCCGTGAGATATGTGCAGTAAGATATGATTAACTTAATCTTGTTACTATGAATAAGTTGCACTGACCGTTATAGCAAAGTAGGGTAAACTAAGGGTATGTTATATCTAAATGCCCTACGTGTTGTAAGATCGAGACAGCGTATGTCCAGTTGTTTTTTGTTTATTTTTTTTTTCTTATTAACTATTTTCAACATTTTTGAAGTTATGGCTAATTTGTTTTGTCAGGGTGGAATATACAATTTTATACGAAAGTGATAGATCTATAATATAAAAGTGCAGGCCGTCTCTGTACATGCATATACATTTTTAACGAATGTGTATGCATGAACTCGGAAATATATCTTATGTAAGTAAGGGTGCAAGCTTTTTTCGTACATACCTTTTTATATAACCGCTTTCTTTCTATCAAACTTGAGTATATGTACATTTAATGTTTGTTTATTTCGGGCACATGTATACAAATGTACCTTCAACAATGGTTTAATAAACTTTGTTATATATGCATTCTTATTTTAGAATAGATTGCACTTATTCTTTCCAGTAATGACGGATATATTATATAATTATGAACCGATTTACACCCGATCTAGCTGGTTTATACTTACATAGGCACCGATGCCGCTCGAGAGGAAGAAATCATAGTAATATTATATTATATTAAAATATTAGATATTAATTACTTAATCAGGAAACAGCATTGATATTCGAATAGTAATTTAAAGGAACTCCACTGAGGTCCAATAGCCTTAAATAATAGATTTTGAAATTCTTTATTAAATCAACTGATACATTTAATTTTGAAACCAAGCAATAGATAATATATAAATATCTACACTTTATTAAATTTATAATCGATTTTTATGCATTTTTGGCCGATTTGAGTGAATAGCGTTTAAACGGTTTTCATTTATAGGGCGAATTTCCAAAATAAAATTGATTATTTCTGGGAAATGGAGTGAGTTAATGATTTGAAATTTTGTGCATGAGATTTTCTAGACATACATCTACTTATACAAAAATCTTAAAAAATATTTTCGGTCCCTTCACGGTAAAAACCTCAGTGGAGTCCCTTTAAAGTTATCAAGTTATAATGTCAGAATATATTTGCGGATATTCCTTTCTATAGTTAGTGCCTTTGTACAAATCTTAACGTACACACTATTAATGATTATATTATCTATACGTTTAATATAGTTAATTTTATTTGAAGTTAACCCGTTGTTTGTAAGTAAGTGAATAACGCCTTTATTTAACAAGGCTTACATATTCGGTGTTCCGATCTTCCAAGTGGGCCACAGCTGAAATACATAATTACAATGTATAATCAGGTAAAAGATAGAGCATCGAAACACGAGGCTATCTGATTTGTACGAGGGGGCGTAGTCCCCGAGTAAATATCAGATTACCGAGTGTTTTGATGTTCTTTCTCTTTTGTATCATAGTTAAAAATAAAAGCACGTTCTCTGATGTCACAATATGAAACCCCAGAATAAAGGAACTAATGAACGAGCATCTGAATATGATATTTCTATCGCTTTCACTTTCCTCGTCGTCACAATATGTAAACCCCAGACAAAATGAACCAATCAATGGGCATGCTCTGCAGTGCGGGTAACTTATACCTGCAGTCCAGTTAACGCACTGTGCATATATATGTATACGATTTAACCGTGACACATTTTCTCCAGAAAGGTCCTTTGATACAATTTATATATACACAACATATTCACAACATATATACACATCATAATGAAACATGATCCGTGTTATTAAATGTCTATTATTAAAGTCATATCATTTAAACCAGTGTAAAAGACAATAGAAGTTTTTGCTAAATGCTAGATTATTGTAATGCTAGTGTTTGTCAAAAATTTTGTATGTAATATTGTTTGTATTCATAATCACAATGAACATTGTGTCAATAAAATAATGTTGTTTTTTTTTTCTTTTTTATACAGCACATGTCATGGAATAAAACAGGTAACATCTGAAAGGTCTTATGATGACCAGAAACGTCGTCTAGCCATCAAAAGTTTAAAAGGAGCTTATAACGTTAGGATAGATAATACTTTGAAAAATAGAGATAAAAATGATCAATTTGAGTGTGATATCACTAGTGTGTGTATGCTTCCTAATAGTGAAGTTTTCCTTGCTGATAATGGGAATGAAAAACTGAAGAAATTGGACAGTTCTTACAAGGTTATAAGTCACTGTGATGTACCTGAATTTATCTGTTCTGTATGTTATATAGGCAAAGATATAGCTGTTGCTAGTTCAAGAAGCAAATCCATACAGTACGTGAATGTGTCAGGTAAGATAAACCTAACACAATTAGTGACGCTAGATCATCAATGTTTCGATCTAGCTTGTCACGGTGACACACTCTATATTTACAGTGGAGACACAGTTTACAAATATGACAAAAACTGTACACAAAAACAAGTTCTCTATCATTATCCGGACATAATCGACAGTCCCTCAATTGCTATAAGTGACAATGGTGAGCGAATCTACTTAAGTACAAAAAAAAGTACAGATACAGTTCTAACTACAATAGATGCCAAAGGAAATCATATATTCAGTTCACAATTGGACAAGTTTAGCATACTTGATATATGTATTGCTTGTGAAGGTATTGTTCTTGCATCAGATAAAACAAACAATCTTCATCAGCTAGATTATAATGGAAAAAAACATCGGACTGTAGATGACCTGCAATTAAGTATTTTATTTCCGTATCATATATGTTTCGACAGAGAAAGATGTAGACTTATTGTTAGTGGTTGCGGAGACATAATATATGTTTACAAATGCAAGTATTTGCCAGGTTAGTTCATAAAATTGTTTTGGTAAACAAAAAACCAAATGATAAAAAAAAACATTGTTAAACTACTTTTGTTCATCAAATTATTAAGTTTGTAAGTTGGCTTATTTCTTCCTTGAGTCATTGCTTAATATTATGATGCCGCACTTATTTATCTTGAATGTATTTGTACTTATATGTATATATGACATAACTCTTTTCATAATATAGGTTTAATAGTTTGTATTTAAAATCCAAATCGAGATAATTTAACAAGACAATCTTGTTAAAAGACTAACGAATGAATAGATGATTGAGATTGATTTATCTCGTATACTCTCATTTCTACTTACAGCCCTACACGTTTACTTTTTGTCATATCTTAGCAATAAGTTTAAGGCAAAATATCAATAATTATTTATAGCTCATATAAAAAAACGTCATTAAAACTCATCAACGAAAAAAGACACAACATTGACATTCATTGTAAAGACTGCAGACTGAACTTAAATTAACGTCGTTTTTTATTATTTCAATACTGTATACAGTGGGTAAAAGATTGTGTCGTCATTGCATCTGCGTCCATGTATTCGAGTAGAAAGAATAAAACCATTTGAAATTGAAACCGGTTTGACATGTATTGATGTTTCTTTGTGCATGTATTTGTTGTTGTCAATCAGATTATACACATTATCTTATTTAAATGTTAATGTATCTGCTTTGGCCGTTTTGGTTTGAGGACGATGACTTAAATTATAGTAACGTCAATAAATTGTTACAGTCAAGCAAACCTGCGAGTTGTTCGATTGTGTCATTTACATTTGTTTCGGGTTTCCTTTTCACAGTGAATATATGAAATTTTGAGACAATTTAAACATTATAATACATTGTATAAGTTATAAATATCATCATCTATACAAATATAAGACATCTACGTACATGTGGATTTAGTTTAACCTCTTTTCAAGCTCACAGCTAAGAGACAAATGCGCAAAATACCAGAAATATCAAACTATTTTGAAATGAATTGTATTGTGAGACCAAGCAGCGATCAAATAAACAATAACCCTACTAAGACGGAGTCATTGTCAGTTGTGACATCAGTCTTAGGTTGGTTCCCTGTCTACATTTACTACGGACAGTAGTGTAAGGGGAAGAAACTCCAGGCTACATATAGTCAATGACTAACTTCTTACAATCTTGGTTTTGTTCGTATAGTGTCTAATTTATCTCTTTGAATAGCTTTCCCTTGTCCATGTGAAGAGAAATAACTAAAATTCAAACCCAAAATTTAGGTCCAGTTCAATTAAATGTTATATATATTTTCATGTCAAAACCTTATTTTACCAAAGAATGAAATCAATGCAGCAAAACAATGTTTAAGAGAGAATGGTACAGTATGGTTAATTTGTAGGTTATGTGGATTTTTTTTTATTCATTTTTACAGCGAATTTTTGAACTTTTGAGAACATTTATACTATATGTGTAATATCGTGGTAAGTCATAAAATCATTATTTATACAAATAAAAAACATATACATTGATTTAGTTCGACCTATTTTCATTGTTCTAAACTAAAAGAAAAATCCTTATACAAACACACAAAAGATATAAATCTTTAAAAAATGAACCTTTTGGGACCGATAGATAAAATAAACGATAGCCCAAGTGTACGGAATCCTGTTGGGGCTATTCATAATGTCGCCGTCACGTTTGCATTGTCGACACACGACAACGAGAAATGACATAGCGATATTACGAAGTGACACCCGACAATCGCAAACGACGGTGATAATTTCAAATGCAATGTCATGATATCCACGAAATGTCGTCTATTAAAGCACGAAATATTGCATTTTCACTTCAATATGTCAAGTGTCGTATCGCAGTGTCGCAATGTCTCTTCGCGTTTTCACAATATCACTTTACGTTGTCGTGTGTCGACCCTGCAAATGCGATGGCGACATTATTAAACGATGTGAAGGGACATTTTCCTAAGGAAAATGTTATCGTATGTCGTGTGTCGCGGTTTTGTTTGAGGGTCGACGCGCGACAATTTCAAACGACATGCAACAATCTCAAACGAGGCTCAACAATGCGAAGTGACATTTTAGATAATATCGTATCGCATATCGCCCGTCTACCGGTGAAAAGTAAAAAACAGCCTCTTCACCGCCTGTTTCCCTCGGGTTTGCCTAAGATATGAAAGTGACTTTTTTGACAAAATTGAGCGAACGTGAGCGAAAGTGACTTTAATGATATGAATTATAGCGTTTTAATAGAATTTTACGGAAAGTAGTGGTTGTTAAAGAACCTCCAGACTACATATAGTGTATGCTCAATTTCTCACAATCTTGGTTCTGTTCCTAAAATGTCCAATTGCTCTCGTTGGTATTGCGTTATTTGTTCATGTGAATAGAAATATAAAAATAAAACTTTTGATAAATACTTTACTGCTTTTATTATTTTCATCAATAGGAACTTTTGCAACACATACTTATTATTGGATTTTCATCTTTGAGGGTTTGTCAAGGGTCATTGACGGTCAAGGTCCATTGTAATTATATGTCATATATATTTTATGTATTGTTCTAAAATGTATTGTACCAAAGAAGAATGAAGACAATCCATAAAAAACTTACAAAGTTCTAGCCAATTTTAGAAAAACATGTGAAATTAAAATAATTTAACATTCAATGTCAAAGTCAATAACGAATCAAGCTAAATTTAATCTTCTTTTAACACATTGTTCTTACGAAAGTTGTGCTCAAGTATGATGACTTTCTATTGATAAATAGCAAAGATATAGCCAATTTAAGCTAAATTCAAGCAAAGTTTAATCATTTGACCTTCACAGTCAAAGGCATTGATGAGTGATTGTCAAAAATAATTAAATCTACTAGAAGGCATTGTTCAAAGGATGGTGAAGACAATCTATCAATAAAAACAAGTTGAGCCAATTATAGCAAAAATGAAGCAAAATTCATTCACTTGACATTGATGGTGAGAGAATGGTCAATTTTTAGGTCTTGACCAAAGGGTTGTTGTGTCCAAATATGAAGGCAATGGAATGAGAAAAAATATGACTATCCTCAAAGTTTCGGAAGGCAACGGCAACGACAAAATGGCAATAACAATAGCTATTTTTTCTATGGAAGCGTCAACGTAAAATACATGTAGATAATTTTGCATTTCAGATAAAATGTTCTAAGTAACGACTCCTTTGTCATGACTGTTGCAATTTCTGAATATCAATGGAAATGAATATTAACACGCTGCAGATTAAAGCTAGTGCCACTGTATTTTTTTACTTTTCTAAGAATAATATATTAGTCTTTGACATTAGGTCAAACTGATTGTTGAAATGGTCTTACGCCCTATGTTACAGAATATACTCCCTAATTTTTTTCTGAAACTCAGTCAATAATATCAACAAATCAATATACAGTAACCTTAAGCAACATTAGAAAATTTATTTCTTATGAGAGTATTATTACCATGTTATACATTTCGACATAATAATGTTCATCAATTATTCTGACTTGGTTCAATTATGCCCTTGTTACTGAATCCTACAACAAATTTACACAATATATCATGCCGTGTATATCCATTTACTCAGGAATGTTAAAAAACGCATGAATCGTGCAACAGTAACACCTGATATGTATAATGATAGGGTCGAAACGAATAACACGGTAATAATACGTATAAAATATTTTAAAGTAAATAAAATGAAAAGAAATGAATTTGTGCATACGGCTGCTATGACATAATACTTTAACCAGCATGACAAATATTTTCGTCGGCACAATTAAGTACAATAACGTATATAAAACTTTACTCCAAGACGAACAAAACCCACCAGTCAAACCCCACACCTCAAAATTTTTTTAGAGTGGATAAAACCCCACACCTAAATTTTACAGAGTGGACAGAACCCCCCCCCCCCACACACACACACACATACACTTTTACAGGGTGGACAAGATTTGATGGATGAAAATACATAAGATATAGATATATCTTATTTTAATATAACACATAATTTAATTAACAATGCAAGTACAACTTTACTCGTATATTATTAACAAGTTTTATCTTATTGCTTTTTTTCATTTTTTATATCAAATTAGAACATTATATTAACATGTGCAAGATAAGAAAACAATTTTACTCTTAAGATTATCTTCTCAAAAAGGTGTTACAAACTGTACACAAAAAAAAACATTAATCCAAATCCAAAAAGAACAATGTAGCATTTATTTCAATAGCAATACAATATGAATGAGAGTATACCAACAATTAACAAACTGTTTAAACATCAAAGAGTATTTGAGTCGAATTTGAATAACTGTGCCACAAATAATAGCAAGTGACAAATATTTAATTAATTATATCAATTATACATTATTAAACAAGAACACACATAAACAAATATTTTCTAGTTTCTTTTACAAGGTTACCAGCGTTGCTTTGGTGCGGCATTCGCGGAACTGGCGTTATTTGGTAACAAAAGCTACCGTCTAACGTAGGCCTTGCTTACTGATGATTTATGCTTACTTCTAATGTCAGCAGATTGAATAATGTTTCAATCTACCGTGTGGATTCAATGGAATTTAATGATAAAGATAGGGTGGGGCGAAGGTGGTAAAATATAGGTGACCGTTGATTCAGATATATTGTAGATGATAGCCTATCACCTGTATACCCTTTGCAAACAGTATACGGCTTACTCAAGACAAACATAATAACAATAGTTTGGTGCCATGATGAACGTACTTCGTTTCATTAGGATTTACAACCTTATTGAATAATAAAAACGCTTAAACGTGTCGTGATTTAGCGAAAGAAGCACACTTCCAGAAACTAAAGTTATCACAAGATATCTAGGACATTTTCAGAATTATCACAAGAACTCCAGTACATTTGAAAAATCGGGCATTGATTTGTTAGCCGAGACTTTATGTTTGCAACTTTGCATTATTATAAGGTTATTATGTATGGCAAAGATGAAGAACACAAAAAAAAAACAGGTCAAAAAGTGCGAATATGCAAATTATTTGGAAATTTTACTCAAAACTTCAAGATTTTAAACAAGAGGCGAAGAAAAATGGACTATAAATAAGTATTTGACACATAATACAAGATATAAGGCAATCGTAATCATTAAAGTTTAATTAAGCACCTAAAATGCACTTTTAAACGATAAAAATTGGATTTTTGGTAGTGTTTCTGTAGTATATACAAATGTCTTCCGACGAACTCCGTAACAATTATCACAAGAACTCCTGACAAGTTATCATAATAACTCAATCCATCGTGTAACAGTTCCTCCCCCGAGATACGGGAAGGTATGTAAAAGGGAGGGTATAAATGTGTGCATGATAGTTAAGTATTGTTGTATGCATTATGTATAAATGTAATAATTTAATCATTCTAACCCAATAATTATGAAATTAAAGGCGTGACACTAAGACATGTTTATCAATCATCGATCATTCCCGCTAATTCAAACATATAAACATTTTACTCTTAATTAAACTTCCATAAAGAAGATGTCGTTAAAAGTCGAAAAGCTAAGACAACTGTTGTTTGCATCGCGTATCAAAACGATTTCAACACTGTACAATCACATCAAGTATAAGTTAAGAAAGTTGGATATAATGGTTTCCAAATGGTCAAGATAAACAAGACGAAACTGGCTTTACTTGGCGTATAACGATGTATTAGTAATGTCTTGATATAAGTACTGAAATCAGTTGAATTAAAAAAGAATAGATTCCGGTATGAGAAAATCGTTTGGTATCGAAATCGGGATGATCGCACAGCGATATT